CGGGAATGTGACCGCAACCAAGGTACATGCCCTTGACCGGAATCAAACCCGGGACCTTTCAGTCCGCAGACTGATGCTCTACCTTTGAGCCAAACCGGTTTCGACAGTCAGATGATTTTTTAAAAATATACTTTTATTGACTTCAGAAGGAAAGGAGAGCGAGAGAGATAATCACTGATCAGCTGCCTCCTGCACACCCCACACTGGGGATTGAGCCCACAACCGGGTCCTGACCAGGATCAAACCATGACTTCCTAGTTCATAGGTCAACCCTCAACCGAAAAGTCATGCCGTCTGGGCCCAAGTCAGATGATTTTAAGATAGGAGATTATCTGAGGTGAGCCTGTCCTAATCAGATAAACCTTTAAAGTGAACTGAGCTCTTTGTGAAGAAAGACATTCAGAATGTGAAAGGGATTTGATGAGAGAAAAATTCTCTGTTGCTGATTTGAAGATAGAATAGGCCACATGGCAAGCAATGTGGGAGACGTCTAAAAGCTGAAAATGGTCCCTGGCTGGCAGGCAGTGCAAAAATGGGGAACTTTGTCTTATAAGAACACAGAACTGAATTTGGCCAACAGTTTGTGGTAATTTGTTCAATATCAGTAGAGAATGAATGCATTTGCTTTTGTAGATCACGCTTTTGTTGATTTCATATGTGTCCATGTTTCTAGGTGAGAGGAAAAGGTTTTTAAATTTTATTTTTGTCCCCCCTTCACACCACAGCCATAATGTGAAGTTACTGGGGAGATTTGCCTTGATCGACATTTTGGAGTTAATGGGGGATATAAATCCTTGGCATGAAGGTACCAGTTGTTAAGCAGCAACTACAATTACTACCATTCTCAAGTGTCTCCTACCTCCCATATTAGAAACAAATTTCTACACATCTGATATCTTGTGGATATCTTCATCTGTATGTCTCACCAGTCCCATGAACTCAGTAAATTCTCAAATTTCCTTTCCCAAAGCTGCCCCTCCCCCTCCATTTTCTAATTGTGTTCGTGGTTCCTTCAAACCTCCAGTTGCCTTTGAATTTACAACTCCAGCCATTGTTGACTGCTTCCTCTGTTTATTACACACACACACACACACACACACACACACACACACACACGTCACTCTGTTGCCAAGTCCTCTCCATTCTTCCTCTCCTTTCCATTTTTCTAAAAATATATTTTATTGATTTTTTACAGAGAGGAAGAGAGAGGAATAGAGAGTTAGAAACATCGATGAGAGAGAACAATCGATCAGTTGCTTCTTGCACATCCCCCACCGGGGATGTGCCCGCAACCAAGGTACATGCCCTTGACCAGAATCGAACCTGGGACTTTCAGTCCGCAGGCCGACGCTCTATCCACTGAGCCAAACCGGTCTCGGCCCCTCCTTTCCATTTTTATTGTCAGTGTCTCTCACCTAGAATATTTCAGGAGTCTCTTAGGTGCTTTCCTGGGACCAATCTCTGATTGGCACAGTTGTAATCATGTCTCTTCTCTGCTCACCCACCTTCCAAGAAATCCATTGGCTTGGCATTCAAAACTCTTCAGGACTTAACCCAGACCTACCTTTCTCATATTTTTAAAAACTTTTTTTAAAATAGTATTTTTATATTTATTGATTTGAGGGGGTAAGGAGAGAGAGAGAGAGAGAGAGAGAGAGAGAGAGAGAGAGATTGGTTGATACTTGTTACGTGCCCTGACTGGGATCCAAATGGGCATCCATGGCCAATCTGGATGATGCTTTAACCAACTGAGCTACCTGGTCAGGGCCTCAAAAATTGTTAAATGAGTATTTTGCCTACCTTTTCAGTTATTTCGGGTTAACCTTTAAAAATCATTTTTTATGCTGAGACTGGTTTGGCTCAGTGGATAGAGCATCAGTCTGCAGACTGGGGGGTCCCGGGTTCGATTCTGGTCGAAGGCATGTGCATTGGTTGCGGGCACATCCCCAGTGGGGTGTGTGCAGGAGGCAGCTGGTCAATGTTTCTCTCTCATCGACGTTTCTAGCTCTCTGTTCCTCTCCCTTCCTCTCTGTGGAAAATCAATAAAGTATATATTTTTAAAAAATCATTCTTTAGGAGCCATGGGTCAGACTGTTGGACCTCAAAGGGAGGGTGGGGATAAAAGGGAGAGATCAACCAAAGGACTTATGTGCACACATATGAGCCTAACCAGTGGTCAAGGACAATAGGGGGATGGAGGCATGAGTGGGGGGGGAGTCGGGATTGGAATGGAGGGTTGAGGACAAATATGTGATACCTTAAAGAAATTTAAAAAATAAAAATAAATAAAAATAAATTTTAAAAAATAATTCTTTAAAACTATTATTGTTTTTGCAGGTCCGCATCCCAACTCTGACTCTTCCCTGAAATCTGCAGCTTCTTCCAATTACTTTTACTTTAGACCCACTGCGCTTGCAATTCTCTGCAGTCCATCGTTCTCAGACCTTGGATTTTTCTGCACATATAGTAGCCATTTGGCTTGTTGAACTGCCAAGGGAAAATGTGGTTCCAGAACCAAATTGTGAGTACCCAGAGCTAAAACCTCATTCTTGTCTTAAGCTCTCATTCTCAACCCCACCCCCTCACCACCACCACCTAGGACACACACCACCATCTTATTCTGCTTGGGAGTGATCATTGGCCTAAATGTTGGGACTCAAATCGCTCACATTCATCCCACAGAAAAGGGACCCACAGCCCCTTTTACAGTCGAGGCCAATTTACTCTTTGGATTTTCAGTGATTTTAACGGGGCACACACATCCTTCCCCCGTGTTCTGTGTCCGCAGGGAATGTGCATGCATTGTTCCCGCTTTATGAAAACCTGGTTTGCCTCCGCCCACTCCTCCTCTAGTTGGGGATTTTATCCTCCCCACCCACCCCCACCCCACCCCCAGTCACAGGGAGCACTTTAAGTGATCTGGTCTTTTTTAAAAAGAAAGACAAAAAAAGATAACCGGGGAAAAAAGCTTCCCAGGATTCGTCTTAGACTTGACAAGTGGTGGTCAAGCCCATTCCAGCACCCAGCCCTGGAACTGGAGGCTTCCTTTGGCCAGTGAGCCCGCCTCAGCCCGCGAGCGGGCCGGGCTTTAATGACCTAAGCAACTTTCCTCCCACGCCCCCCCCTCCCGCCTTGGTACGGCCCGTCCTGCGTTCGACGTTCCCTCCCCCCCTTCCTTCCAGGTTGGTTCAGCCCCTGTCTACTCCGGGGTGGTGCTTAGCCGGCGCCAGACCGACCCTCGACTTCGGAGGGGCAGTGCGGTGCCGCTGGGCGCTTCCTCCTCAGCGTCTTCGGCTTCTTCAGCCCCGTCGGCCTCCTCACCCTCGGCTGGGCCCCGCGATCTCGGTGTATGCCCCAGCGCTGACCCCGCTCGAGATATGTCTACCCCGGCTCGGCGGCGCCTCATGCGGGACTTCAAGAGGTAACCGGCGGGGACCGCGGCGGCCGCGGGCTTGCCTCCGGACTCAGGGCGGGTCCCGGGGCGGGCCGGGGCCGGGGCCGGGGGGAGCCCTGGAGTAACCGGCAGCAGCGCGGCTGCCCGGTAACGGGGCCCCTGTGGGTTTCTCTAAAGGTTGCAGGAGGATCCTCCTGCCGGAGTCAGTGGGGCTCCGTCGGAGAACAACATAATGGTTTGGAACGCGGTCATTTTCGGGTGAGTCTGCTTTCCGGGCGTTGGCGAGAGAAGGGGGATGCTAGGCGGCTCTTCCGGCCCTCGGGGAGCGGCCCCTGGTGCGGGCGAAGTGGGAAAGGGGCAGTGTTGGGGTCTGATGGGGCCTAGGCGCCTCCCCGGAGCCTGTGCCTCGATTAGCTCGATTAGCTCGGTTCCCGCTGCCTGGGGAACCGTTTGGGGTTCTCAGGGGGGCGGGGCGGGAATGGTGACGGTTAGGCGCGGCGGCCTGTACTCGGTTTCTGAGCCTGAAACAGCTATTTGTAGTGGCTTTCCATCCAAACAGCTATTTGTAGTGGCTTTCCATCCAGGAACCGGGGTTTTACCAGAGGGGGCGTTAGCAATGCCTGGCAGAGCCCGGAATAGCCATCGCCTAAAATGAACCAGGGAGCAGGGGACCCCTTAAACAGGAACTGACATGTTTTTCTCTGTATTTCAGGCCCGAAGGGACCCCGTTTGAGGATGGTAAGAGAGTTTCTTTACACACACCTTTAAAGAGCCTGACCATCTGGGGAAAGGGTTCCCAGTCATCCTGGAAGTGCCTCCTGCTTAGGAACCTGCTTCTCTCTAGCCTCTGCCTACTAAAGGCTTGAGTTGAATCCAATATGTGGCAGGTTGTTCTGTTGCCTGCTTGACTAGAATCACACCTTTTTTCTTGTTTGCTTCTTTAAAAAAATCTGGGTAAGGCAATCCCTTTTTTAAAGGAGCATCATAGCACTGAGGGTAAAGACTCCTGAGGTCTGGGCTGTGATCTGCAAAATTCAGGCCCCCATCAAGATATTGAGATAGTGTCAACCCAAACACTTGCTGATAGACTCAGAGACCATCTGGTTAGCATTCTACCACAGGGCAGGTACTGTGTACAGCAGGTGCTTAATAATAAAGGTTCTCAGATGTTGAATGGATGCAAGCATCCCTTGCACACAACTATCTAGTTTCTACAGTCTGGCATTGAATGCCTGTCAGCTTCGCTGCTTGGTCTAAAATGGTTTTTAGTGGCCAGTTTGAATATAATATAGTTTGTTATTTTAAATGAGTTTTCAGAGATTTAGATTTGACTTTTAAAATATTCATGTATTCATTGCTTTTTAAAGATTTTTTTAAAACTTCCTATTTTGAGGGAAATATAGATTCATGTGCAGTTGTAATAAATAATAATACAGACTGTGTGTATCCTTCACACACTTCTCCACCCCATTCTTTGATAACATCTTGAATGACTATATTACAATATCACAAATAGGAAATTGACAATGATATGGTTTTATGTGCACTCAATTGTGTGTGTATAGTTATTTTTTGAGAGTTTAAATCATTTAAAAGATGATTAAAAGTATTTGAACTACTGTTTGACATCTTTAATAGTTGAGGTATTTTTTAAAGAAAAGGATCTGTTATTCTTTCTCAGTGACTTATCTTCCTTTAGTCATGTTGCATTATATACATATTCACATAATTCAGTTTGAAGGTAGGAACAAAAATGTTGTTGCAAGCTACTGACTACATACTTATATTGTCAAGTTGGACCACTCTTGGATGCTACCAGTCCACAAGGTAGGTCAATATCAACCAATTCTATAATTTGTCTCAAACACTCAGATTTCCCTAGGAGGCTGCAGACAATCATCTAAGTACTTTTAGCTTCCTGTCTACCTTCATTCCATGGGTAAATATCACTGCTCTTCAGTCCTGCAATAAAAGGAAATGACAGCAGAAGAGAGGGGTCCTAAAGGCACACTACTTTGGTACAATAAATTATTTGAACTGATCCATAGCAAGACTTAATTTTGCTGTACAGCATTGGTACTACCCTGTTTCCCCAAAAATAAGACAGTGTCTTATATTAATTTTTGCTCCCAAAGATGCGCTAGGTCTTATTTTCAGGGGATGTCTTATTTTTCCATGAAGAAGAATACGGTACACATTTATTGTTAAATGAAAATAAAGGAAATTTATTACCTGTATATGGTACGGTAGTACGGTAGTTGTCAACACAAACCAGACAAACTGTGAATCCTACAGTATCAAAAATTTACTCATTTATTCAATGACAATCATATCTTCTGGAACATCATCATAACAATCCAATTCCTGAATTTCCTGGTGAATTTCTTGTGACTCCATTTCTTTCAGAGTCAGTGGACCAAATCTCATGTTTAGTCTAGAGGGGCCTTATTTTCGGGGGGATGCCTTATATTTCACTCAGAAGGAAACCTGTAAGTAGGTCTTATTTTCGGGGAAACACGGTAGTTCTTCCTTACTTAAGCTTTATGTGCAGATTAACTGTGTATTTGCTCTAGCAGGCTTTGTTTTCATTGGCTTCTTTTTGTTCCCTCCCTATTTTACTGACTTCTTTATCCTGGGCACAGGTTTATTAATAGTACATCACTTTGCCAAGGGGTGACTACTTAAATATTTCAAGGGTGCTTCTCTTGTTTTAAGTGGTAACAATTGAAAAGGTACTTATGGAATCCATTATCTATCTGGACTTTCCCTCTTGACATTAATGACTCTGTTTTTGATGATGTGTATCTCTATGCTGGCATTACTGAAAGGAATTACTCAAGCTAAATGACAGTACTCTTTTCTGATTCATTCTGTTAGGCAGTCTGCTATCCAAGAATGCTTCCTCAGGTGTCTGCAAATATATTTGACCGTCTGTTAATACCCCTCATATATGGTTAGGGAATTTACTGGAAAACACTGATTAGGGACAAGTAGCATAGTTGATTTTGCCCTGTTTCCAATGTATTAATAGCCTCCAAACTATTTTTGCTGCTTCCTTGTAAACCGTTTGTAATGGAAGTTTCTGGAATAGCCAGGCCCTAGTTAAAGAGATGGAATCTTAAGAAAAAAAACTCTGATTTAATTTCACACATTTGAAGTAAGAGGACAATGTTTCCAAGAGCTTACATTACCAAACAAAGCACTGGGGGCATGAGAGCAGTGCTTCCTCATCAAAATATTTGGTTATGTATGCTGAATACAGAGGCTATGGAACAAAGCATTCTCCATCACATATACAATTTGTTAATAGACATAGTAAGATAGTAGTATTTGTTTTTCATAATAGATGTATTCTTAAGAATTTGGCTGTTAGATTTTTCCAAAGAAAATGAATCACTTAAAACCCACAGAGGATGTTTTTAAGCTAAATAAATCCTATGATAGAGTACTTGAGTGTTACCTTAAAAATTAGAATTTTCAGTCATCAAAAAATGTTTTAATGTACTTTGCTTTATTTTTCTCTTTGTTTTATTTTATCCATCACCATTTATCTCCCCTATACCCTCTTCCATCTCTACCCACTCCCTCCCCCCCCCCCCGAACATAGACACTGTTGTCTGTGTCCATCATTTTTTTAAAAAAATATATATTTTATTGATTTTGTACAGAGAGGAAAGAAGAGAGGTAGAGAGTTAGAAACATCGATGAGAGAGAGTCATTGATCAGCTGCCTCTTGCACACCCCCCACCGGGGATGCGCGCGCAACCAAGGTACATGCCCTTGACCGGAATCGAACCCGGGACCCTTCAGTCCCCAAGCCTATCCATTGAGCCAAACCAGTCTTGGCTGTGTCCATCATTTTTACTTTGTTTTCCTTTCAGGGGTCATAATCTAATGGCCAAATGGCAGGAAATGTCTGCAGAGGTGTTTCTTTGGCCAACACAATGTTTTTAAAAATTTGAATTTTTGAATTATCTGTAGAACATACACTTTTTAACCATATCACTCCCTTATTGCCATACACTCAGTCATTTAACACATTTATATAATTTTCCTAGTCCTATGTATAGATGGAGTGATACTTTCCTTAAAATGTTTTGGCCTCCTCAGGTTCTTGAGCAAAATCAGTACAGATCGTGTGCTATTCTGAGGCTTAAGTTTTCAGTGATTTTAAAGCCTAGCCTCCTAAATATTCAGAGATGAGCTCTAGCCTCAATTGCATAATATTAATTCTAAGATTTTAAATTTCTTTAATATTTGTTTTGGACCTCAGAAATTGCATTAAGGTTATATTAAAGAGGTGTTGATTGTTTAATCTGGCTAGCAATATGAAATATACCTTCTTAAATATGTGCTTTGAATAAAATTTGGGTAAGTTCTAATTTATATTCAAGTAGACATAGCAGATTGCTTTACCTCTCAAGATATTAAATGAGCTGCTTTAAACGACGTGACTCTTTGATAGCTAGGTAAGCACCTTGTTGAACTTCTAGGCAGATATTAGGCAGAAAGCTCATGGGTTTTGAGAACCACCAACATAGATACTCTGCTTGCATTTAACTGAGTGTTTGATATAGATCAGAAACAAAGTACTATTTAATATTTGAATCCATTAATTGTATATTTCTTACTAAAACTAAAGCTTACTAAAACTAAAGATTTTGAGGTTTTGCCTCCTTTAGCTGGGTATCAAGATGTGAAACTAAAGAATTATTAATATTTATATTTAATAATAATATTTATATTTAATAATAATATCTATAAATAATAATATTTATAGAGCACTTATTTTGTGTCACTGCATATTTTCCTCATTTAAACTTCACAACACAACAATGTTACGTGTTGGGTACTATTATTAACTCCATTTTACAGATGAGGAACTTGAGGTTTAGTCAAGTTGAGTGGCTTCCCCAGGGTTTCACAACTAGTCAGTAGCAAAGCTAGGATTTGAGCCTAGGTCTTTGTGACTTCAAAGTTCCACTATGCCAGCCTTATGTGTTGTTTTACTACCTTTGGGTATTATATTTAATGGTGGTTTTAATTTAAAGTACCTGAGAGCTCCATCTGCTATGAAATCTGCCCAATTGTAGAGCAATTCCTTAATGATAAATCTCTTGCCTATAATTTTATCAGATTTCAGCATTGAACCAAATGTTACACTCTAGATACATACAGAAGCTCAAAGTTTTGAACTCTCTTTAACACTGATTCCCACTTTTTCTTACATATTATATCAATAATACTGAAAAGGAAGAATATGCTTCTCAAAAAAGGAAAGATTTATGACCAGGTGGTGATTAAGGGGAAGTATAATATGTTCTGAAGGATTATAGCATGTTTGTCCATTCCAAAATACTTTACCTTTTGTCCTTAGCGAGGTTTAACGATCATTTGGGTACTATTAATGGAAGCAAGAAGGAAATAAATTGCCCACTCTGAAGGAAACAGTACCAAATTATATCCTTCTCTGAAGTGTGATCTATTATATTAGAATAAGTGATTTATTTAATATACCAGAGTAATATGGTAGAATATGCATCACCTTATACCAGATAGTAACTGATTTCACAAGTTTACTTGAAGAGATTTCATTAGGGAAAAAATAGTTGCCCAGTTGTTTTCTTGAATTTATTAAACCAGATTAAAAATAATATTTTTAAAGGAAAAAATCTTCCCAAATCACATCATCCTACAATTTTTGAATGAGATCTATTTTATCCTTTACTTATAAGTCTATAATCTAGTGTCTTAGGGCCTTCTGCTACCTTAGTTGACATGTATTCAAGAAAAATAAATTCATTAGATAAATTTTCTGGAGACATGAATGTAATCAAACGCGATTTTTAAATTACTTCTGCCATTAATTCCCTCCATTAGTGTGAATGATTAAGTTGATTTTATAGTGAAGTACTTTGTGAGTCATACTTAAGGGTTTTGAGAGGGACTATTAAGTTGGGTTTTTTTGTTCATATTCAATTATATTTTCATTATAGAGTTGCTATTATATATGGAAAGGAATTAGTGAACACTTTAATGCCTATTCCCTTCTATTTTAAAAATAATTTGATTATTGATTTGTGTTTCTAGCATTGATTTTTGAACCTTTGTAATCCCATTCTCTAGTCCATTAAAAAAATCTCTGGAGAGCTTACAATGGCAGCTGATTCAAATGGGCTTTTAAGATCTTCCAATTTTCTAAAGGAAGGCCACATTTTGGCTTTAGTTTCTTGTCATTTTAAGGCTGTCTTCAATATGCACAGTGGGTAAAGTTATCCTACAGGTAGTAATTTTTAGTTTAAGGGGGCTGGCTGTGTTTAAGTTTGAAGGAAAATAATGTCAAAACAAAAAACAAATCACCTTTGGGTGGCGGTTCTTAAAATATCTGTCCATTTTTAGAGCCAGTTCTTGGAGATGTATCCCTTAGCCGGTCTCTCTCTTGGCATTATTTCATTTAACAATTGGGGAAAAGTTACATAGCATTAAAAACAAAATATTTCTGAACAAAGTGATAACTATGTTTTCTTAAACCTGTCTTTTCTAACTACAGGAACATTTAAGCTTATAATAGAATTCACTGAGGAATATCCAAATAAACCACCTACGGTTAGATTTGTCTCTAAGATGTTTCATCCAAATGGCAAGTATCACTTTTAATACAGTATTTTAAACGATTGCATTGTTTATTAGGGAGGTGTTCCATATTCCTATGGGTTTGTCTGTGGTACCTGAGTATTTAGGCATCCTGCCGTTTCCTGAAAACTGAACTTGTTCATGGTGTGCTATTGGGTCTTCAGCTATAGTCCCAGAACTAAAGCAAGGAAGCTACTTGGCCTTTGCTTGGAGTCTGAGAGCCTCCTGATTTTGATGATCTTTGTGTCATTAATGTATTAAACAAAAGTAAGGATGCTCTTGAGGCTTCCTTTTAATGTTAGGCCAGATTGGGGTAGCCATAGGTTGTAATTTTCACTAGTGTTTTTATTTCTTAATATTGGAAGGGAGGAAGGGAGAGGGGGAGAGAGATAAAAACATGAGGCCTGGCTGGCATGGCTCAGTGGTTGAACGTTGAACTATAAACCAGGTCACGGTTTGATTCCCAGTCAGGGCACATGCCGGGGTGCAGGCTCGATTCTCAGTGTGGGGTGTACAGGAGGCAGCCAGTTAATGATTCTCTCTCATCGATGTTTCTGTCTTTCCCTCTCCCTTTCTGAAATCAATAAAAGTGTGTTGTTGTTTTTTAAAGAAACGTTAATAATAAGATAGAATCATCACTTGGCTGCCTCCTACAAGCCCCACCCTAGGGATGGAGCTCGCAACCAAGGCATATGCCTTGACAGGGAATTGAACCTTCTGATTCTTAGGTCAACTCTCAGCCACCGAGCCACACCAGCTGGGCTCACTAGTATTTAAGACAATAGTTTCCAACTTTGGTTACAGATCATAATTACCATGGAACATTTTAAAAAAATACAGATTCTCTAGCCCCAATCCAGACCTACTGAATATCAGATTCTGTGGTTGAGGGCCAGGTATACAGTATTATATTGGAAAAGCACCGTTTTCTTTTTTTCCCCCTAGCAGTAAGCCTATAGAACAGCTTGCCTTTTATTCAGGTTAATAAAATGTATTTTCCAGGTTATCAAATATTATCTTTATGCCAATATGAAATCTTGTGAGCTATCTTTTGTTATTTCATATAGGAGGTATAGGTTACTAATTTGATGGGATGAGTTTCTCACAAGTCTCTGGATGGTTGGGGACCCTGTTAGAAAATGTTTATGATTTCCTGGATAATGGGCACTCTTTTCAGAAGGAACACTAAGTATCTTCCAGTTTTATATTGATTACATTTGACATTCTCTGATCCTGATTATTTCATTAGTCATGATTCTGACTATTTTTAGGAAAATAAATGAGGAGTAGCTGAGAAAATCTTGTTAAACCTCAAAAACAAAATATTCATTTGTTTGTCTTGATTATGCTGTTAAAACCGTATTGGTTTTGTTATGTTTAACATACATATTTCTCTGCTCTTAGTCTATGCAGATGGTAGTATATGTCTGGACATACTTCAGAACCGCTGGAGTCCAACTTATGATGTGTCTTCCATTTTAACATCAATACAGGTGAATTTTTCCTTCATGTAACTAACTGGCCTTTTATGTGTTTATATTAGCAACTGAATTGTTTTGAAAGTCATATCTTAAGGGAAAAGGTTGGTCTCAAGACCTCAGCCACCAGAATGTGTATATTTGCCTAGATACTAGCAAATATATATATATATATTGCATCTAGGAACTGACCTTTTACAAATTGTCTTTGTAGTCTCTATTGGATGAGCCCAATCCCAATAGTCCAGCAAACAGCCAGGCCGCTCAGCTGTATCAGGAGAACAAGCGAGAATATGAGAAACGTGTTTCTGCGATAGTAGAACAGAGCTGGCGTGATTGTTGATTTGGGTGCAGCAAGTGAAGAGGCTGGGCAAATGAAAACTATATATTGATGTGTTTGTCTCCTTATTCTTCAGTGTCATCACATTTACTTCCATTAAAAGCAAAATAGTTATTCTGCTGTTTCCATCTTCCCTCGCCAAACTTTTCCTACCCCTTCTATCTTCTTATTGAACATCAAAAACACTCCCTATGAGATCAAATGTACTGTACCTGGGTTACGTGCAAAAATTATTAATGCTTAATTCCTTTTCTGTTGTATCTTACCTCCAGCTGTGGGGCAGTATTTTGTTAACGTACTTTACATTAAGTTCCTTAAACGAATTGTTATACAAGTGGTGCTTCTGCATAGCTTGATAACCGGGATGTTATTTTTAACAAAATGATTTAAGTGTTTCATCCTGGCTGAGACATTTGTGTTGGACTTAGAAGTGAACATTTGGAACATGGCTTATAGAAAACAGGGAAACAAATTCATATAAACATACATTTTGAAAGAGATGAAAGTTTAAAAATGCATTATTTCTAAGATCTAGCCAATATGCATTACAAGGTGGTTTTCGTTGGTAGGAAGGAGAGTGTTAAAGGACTCAGCCAAGGGAGTACAGTCACTGTAGTAACCGACACATCCCCTCCTTGCAAGATATTCACTGGACACACCCATGCTAAGTTTCAGACTTCAGTCGGCCTTCTGTATCTGCAGGTACCATATCCATGGGTTCAACCAACCCCAGATCGAAAATATTTGGGGATGGGGGGAGTTTTGTTGATGATGTATACTAGGTAGTTAAGCCTCTGATGGTTGTGTCTGTTCTGTTGAATACTTAGGAATGACTGTACTGGAAGTCTTCCGAGTTTTACCTTTTAAAGAGGTGTGGGAGCAGAGGAATGGAAACAAATTTTTAAGGTGGGGAAGGTTGGTGATCCTTTAATCTTTTAAAAGTAGTGCTACCTTAGATGAACAAATTTATAATCTCCCCTCATTGTTTAGAGTTTTAACCCAATGAAAAGAGCGTATCTGTGGCAAACTGTTTTCCACGAAAATCCTGAATTAATGCTGCATGCTTTAGTTTCTTCTTTCCTTTCAGTATTATAAGAACCTTAAAGTCAATGTTTGCAACCTTTCTTTGGATATTTATACTTTTAAATAGTAACCTTTTAAATAGCAGTGTGGGACAAGGCTTGTAAATGTTTTGTCTAAATGTTCCATTGTCACCTTGTGTGCATTTATCACTCTTCTAAATCTAACTTTGCACAAGTAACCCATGTAAAAAATGTACATTTTTCAAAAGTTGTAAATAAAAATAAACTTAAAATTTTGTAGTCAAAGTATAATTATATTTTAGCTCAGTATGAACTTTTGGTATTATTGAAATCGTATGTCTACTCTTTCCCCCCTTTGAAATAAACATGGTAAAAGCAAAAGTACAGATTCTGGGAAAAGAATAGATACTGTTAGAACCTTTTTTTCTTTTCAATCATGAGAAATGCTTTAAAAAAACATTTTAACAGTATGTAAAACTTAAATAAAACAAAGCTACCTTAGCATTACTATTATGATCAATCAAAGGAATGAAATTGGGATAAAGAGAATAAACAAACCCAGATCTTTACCAGCACCTTCAGAGACCAACACCTAACTTCTTGTCCTGATATCCACCTCTTTTTAAAAAGCCCTAGCTTAAAACAAACAGTACCAAACTATTATAAAATAGATTTTCAGGTCTGTGTAAAGTTTGGCAGTACAAGTATCCTCAAGTTATCTTGCTTAAACAAAACTCTTCTGAGAAACATCCTATTTCTTTTTAAATAGACAAGAACAGTGACTTTGTGGAAACTCGCCTCTTTACTTGTTTGGGGAGGGAACTAAGTAAAATTAAATCCTTAAGGTATTGTACCCATTCATCAATTAAGACAATGGCACTTTAAGGAATGCTCAATGTGGGGTGAGTTCATTCGACACTGACCACATTAACTGGTTTGTTTCACTTAGCAGCAGTATCCTTATATGTACTTAAGTCCACTTCTGCTTCAAAGTAGAAACATTGTGTCTCCACTTGATATTAGTTTTACATTTACTTTTTTATCCCATTGTGGCTGGGTATCTTATTGACATTGCTAACCACACTTTATTTTTATTTATTTATTTATTTTTTAATATATTGATTTTCCACAGAGGAGAAGGGAGAGGGACAGAGAGCTAGAAACATCGATGAGAGAGAAACATTGACCAGTTGCCTCCTGCACATCCCCCACTGGGAATGTGCCCGCAACCAATGTACATGCCCTTGACCAGAATCAAACCTGGGACCCTTCAGTCCACAGACCGATGCTCTATCCACTGAGCCATACCGGTTTTGGCTGCAAACCACACTTTAAATTAAGGTGAGATCAGGAATGTGAAGATCTATTTTTTTTTTCTTTTGTACACCTGAGAAACATATTCCCAATTTCTCATGGTATAACCCTTTCAAAACCTTACAAGTCAACAAACTGACCTCCCAAAGCAATCATACCCATGGTAAAAGATAAATTTACCTTTTTTCTTTACCATTTTTTTTTTTTTTACAAATGCCTCAGCCTGCCTGCATATGACAATTATTTTAAAGTTAAAACAGGTTTTGTGAGGTCCCTTTTAAAATGACAGATCTGAACTTGAGTCTTCAATTCTGCACCTGCTGATGTGTGGAAACGGGCATGATAAGGAAGAAAAGTTGTAATTAGAGTCCTTTATTTAGAACCCATCTCCAGCTTCAGGGGCTATTAACAGTCAAGTTTTGCATTGTAATAAAGAATCCCGAAAGAAGGCATAAAATTCCATTCATTTTGCAGTCAAAAGGGAGTGGGAAATTCTAATATCTGTGAAACTGTGTGTGTGTAACAACAATTTCTTAGTATAATATTTAAGTAACTCAAAACTTGAAACTGCTCATATACTGTGCAAGGTTACTGTGTTAAAAATGACTATTTTGCCGAGACCGGTTTGGCTCAATGGATAGAGCGTCGGCTTGGGGACTGGGGGGACCCGAGTTCGATTCCGGTCAGGGGCATGTGCCTTGGTTGCGGGCATATCCCCAGTGGGGGGTGTGCAAGAGGCAGCTGATCGATGACTTTCATCGATGTTTCTAACTCTCTATCTCTCTCCCTTCCTCTCTGTACAAAATCAATAAAATATATTTTTTAAAAAGAAGAGACTTTATCTAAAAAAAAAAAATGACTATTTCAAAGGAAGGGAAAATATAGGAACCATTAGGGGACAAAACAGAATAGCAAGGTTGTCAGCAGCTCATTATTGCCAAACCCATTTCTCAGCATGTGTTGTTTTAAGAGTTAAGTGACGTCACTCTATTTCCACATCAATACCAAAGCTGATCTAAGAAGTTGGGAAATCTTGGACCTTTAAATCCAGAACCAAATACATACTTAGCCCAATTAACTTGGGAGTCTTAACTTTAGATATATTAATATTCTGCTCTGTTGAACCTACCTAAATAAGCCAGATTTACATGTAACATTACCCTACCCCCCCCCCCCCCAAACAAACTAATTTTGGGGAGAGGAAAGAAATGTAGAGAGAAATGAATTTTTACATTCCTTAATCCCCAAAGCCATTTTTACTCAAGAGAACTCAAGGATGATTTTTCTAACTCACTAATTGAACCATAGCTTCTCAAGGTTGGTATGAGCCTTGTAGGTAAAAAACAAAACAAAACAAAAAAGCACACACACACACACCAAGAACGATTAGCTTAGTTCCCTTTGCCATTAAAACATTAAGTGTCCAATAAAATGCACACCTCACTTCTCTTCCTACCAACATTAGGAATGGACCACACACTAGGCAGAGTCTTGGTGAAAAGCAAGTATATACTGTGCCAATCACTGTAGGTAACTAAAGGTTAAGAGATCCACGTATAAAAGTTAATCCCTTTATATTTTTTTATATTTTTAAAATATTGATTTAACTACAATGGACAGCATCTTAATGTCAAATATAAAAAATAGGGTTAAAGAAATTGTGGGGCAGTTAATGTCAAGCACAGTGCTAAATGTTTTAAGATACTGCAAACAACCTAATTGTTCTAAATATTTCATTGGAGGTATTTAATATTCACTTCTGAATATTAATAGTGTGAATATTAATACTTGATTTATCTGAGACACAAAAACATAGAATTAAACAGCCTGAGATTTGGTTGCAGTCAGCATATTGGTCCATAGGAAAAACCTGAGTAACTGATGAGCCATTCCTATCTGCTAAGTCATTTAAGTTCATCCATATGTGCTCTGGTGTTGAAATACTTTGTGCAAACACCACTTCCCTTCTCCAGATCCCCAAAGTGTCACTACTAGGCTACTGCCCAGAAATAAGCACACCACCATTTTGATCAACTTCGGCTCCTTTTTATTCAGGAAGCACACACATTCTTTTTATATACTTTCTTTTTACATTCCAGAAATAAGCGAAAATAGCTGTTTTAAATATGTTACAAAGTTGGCTTTTGAGCTCAATAAGCTTTTTGAGAGAGTGACCAGCCAACAGACCTTTTCATCAAAGCACCAATGTATCTTCAGTCTTTTACCAAGTTCTACCACAGCTCCGGCCGCCCTGGATGCGCCGTACATCCAAACCGCATGAAAGCTACAGGGGAGAGTTGCTGAGTCTCTGCAAGGCACCAAGAACAAACAGTTCCAGCTTCCTTTCTTCAGGTTAAACCAAAGTCTCTGAAAGTTTTCAAGTACTCTCTCAAGTAGTGCTCATTCAGCATGAAGACTAGAATTTGTTAAAATTGATATATCACAAGGTACAATACACACTTCCAATATGCTGAAAACCACATAGTAGAAGTTATAAATAAGCGAACACTAAATTCACTTTTAAGAAAGTTTTACATCATTTAGTCGATAAGGACATTTACACATACAGCACAAATTACTGTTAAACATTCTATAACTGGCTTCACACAAAGATGAAAATAGATAATACAAAATGATCTGACATTTTAAGTGTGGAATTAAGTTTTATTGTTGTTAATATCAACTTCACATATTGTTGCGGGTTGCTGTGCTATGCCCTTCAAAATGGGAATTTATTTCTCCAGGGTGAAATTCATTTGGATATGCGCTCTTGCTTTGTAGAAACTACTAAAATCTGAGGGACACAGCAATATCAAAGACACAAATGGTAACTGCACAATATCATCTGCTGGATTAAGCTAATACAAGTAGACATAGTTTTTCAGGTTCCAATATCTAATAAAGCTCTATATGAAATGAACAAGGTGAAACATCTTAAGAATGAATATATTCTGCAACTGGAACATGTAGCATTTCTGTAATTCACAGATATGCCTCATTAGGCATTTACAAAATAAATTAGTAAGATCTCAATTTGCTTGAGGCATCACAAGCTCATAATGCCCCACTTGGCCTTCCTGTTTGAGCTGATCTAGTAGGTCTTCCTTCCGTCTTTTCCTACCTACCACCAGGTACCTGTCATGGCCTACCCCGTGAGACTTACTCTTAAGACCATACTTCTGGGCGATTTGATGTATTTGCTTCCGCTCGTCGTTAGTCAGCTCTGTAGAGAAAGTCAAATCGCTGTGGCTCTCGGAGCGGGCATAGTTTCTGATGATCTGTTCAATATCTCTCTTGGCAATTCTATTTACCCTTTCTACATCAAGACCAAGCCCTTCCCGCTTATGCTGCTCTTTGACAGAGATTGGCTCCCGAATGCCCTCACCAGATTTACCTAAACCACCACCCGTCCAGCCCATCTTTCTCAGCAGCTGATTCCCTATGTTATCTTCTTTGATTTGTTGTTTGTAAGCCTCCTCTGCGGAGCGGCCCTGAATTTCATTTCTTGAAATCACGTCTTCAATAGCTCCTTTCTTCAAGTTGTTAATGACAGTCGGCTGGGTTTTTTTGAGGATTTTCACAGCTTCCCCGGCAGCTTCATATTTGACGGTTTTCTTCACCCCAACTGCTTCTGCAATGACTTCACTCTCCAGAATCACCTTGCATTTCCATCGGAGACCTGTCATTCTTTCATAGACGTATTCAACAGTCATTCGGTTAAACTGAGCTGTGTCGTTCAGCGTGCACACAGGATTTGAAGAATTCTCGTAAACCACAAGATCCTTTATATCTTTCTTCTTGCCAGATCCCCTGGGTGAAGAACCTGTTTGGCATTGTGAACTTTTGACAGATGGGTAAGTGGGTTGTGTTTTTTGAAGGATTTTCAAAGCCTCGTCAGCAGCTGCATGTTTACTTGTTTTTTTGGTTCCATAACCTTCAGCTAGGCAATGATCTTGCAAAAACACTCGACAACGCCATGTGCGATTTGGCATCATCTCATATTTGTATTCAACTGACATTTTGTTGAATGAGGCGGAATTGTTAAGGATACCAATAGCATCATTTGCATTTTCTGTAAGGACAAAATTGGTCCAGTGTTTGGCAGAAGCATTATAAATTGGCTGCCCAGAGGCATCCTTAGCCAGCACGACCAGCTCTTCTGGCGGCTTCAGAGCTGGAGGAAAGTCATACGAAGGCATGCCAATCTGACATACCACAAGGTCCTCTCCATACGTGTGTTTGAATTTCCGCCGGATAACCCTAACTTCAATACGCTTCTGCAAGAGTTTTACAGCTAGCTCAGTAGCTCGATCCCTGGACCCATTCTTGCTGCCAGCATACCCTGTAGTTAAGTAGATATTTTGGCATCTAACTTCACAAGCATAACCATCTGTCAGAAGTTTTTTATTTTTGGGGATGTCAGCAGGGGGGATTTCTTTTAAAGGAACATATATATACTCAGGATTTGTCTTACATGCCTGAATACAACGAGTTAACATGTATGTATAATTAATTTTATCAGATCCGGAAGTCATCTCTGGATTAGAAAGGTTGCTCCAGATGGTCGCTGTTAATTTTTCAATAAAATACTGCTTCTTGGCTACCACTGACTCAGGAAATGTCTGTGATAGTGAAGGCTCAGGAGCCGACTGCATGTTTGCCTGCTGTAATGTGCTGCTTGGGGCAGGGTTCCCACGGTCAAAATACACGTTGGATGTTACAGGCTGGTCTTTTGTGAAAAGAAATCCTGCTGAATCACAATACTGAGCATTCCCATCTGGTGCACTGAAAGAGTCTTGAGTATAATCTTGGTAGTTTCTCGGCATTCTGGCAAAATGTGTTTGTTCATTTACCTCTTTTGTTTGAGAGCCATAAGGATCTTCCTGTCTTTCAAAATCTTTTGAACTACTAGCTACAAAATGTACGGGCTCAAAACGAGGTCTCACATGGAATTTGGAACCGGCTTGCTTTTTAGGAGGATTTTGACCTATAGAATGAGTGAAATTTACAGTTCATTAAAGAGGGAATATTTCAAAAGAACCAAGCAGGAAAATAGTATCAACTGTATTATTTGCAAGCTGCATTGTTGGTACAAGATACTTCCTGTCACAGAAACTTCAGATCACTGAGGTGATGGGATTCAAATATCAATGTAAGGTTCCAGCATAAGGTAGGATGATTCCTGTCCTTTTATGTGGAAGGGAAGGGACTTGACAGAAAATATGCCATTGAATCAAATATGCAGGTCACCACCATGCACGATGGTAGCTGTTTTTGCGTCTAATGAGTTAGAGCACAGGAGATATGTACAGACTAAGAAGTTGTTTCAGTGTTAATCTCATACCAGCTGTGCTGAAAAGCTCCCTTAAGGACTGCAATTGGAACAGATGGCTCTACTGCAACACAGATGATGACCGGAAGCATTTGCAAAGCTTCTCTTTTTGTGTGTCAGAGGTGAGTGACTCTGTGATGGTGCTTTACACGTAGTGTGACTAAAACTCAAATAAAATAATTCTGAAAAGATACCAAAGGTTTTCAACTTCAAAATCTTAGTTCTGACCTGTTATGCACCAAAGTGTTCGCTATATTTTATTTCTAGAACAAGCAACAGCTGGAAACTAATGTTTTATGAGGTATATCAAATTTAAAGCTATGGAAGAACTCTGTTGAGGCTATACCAGACACTAGAGCTTCTTCCCTAGAACATGTTCAGTAGAAAGCTGGTCCATCTTGAACCCATCCAAGAGGATTTAGTTACTTAGATGCTCAAATGATCAGAGTATAAGGTTTTTCTATTTAGAGGGAGATTCATGGCGTGGAATTTAAGGATAGCATTATAGTATGACTTCAGTTCTATTTAGCATCCTCAAAAAATACCCAACTGTGAACAACTAAAAGTTAATTTTTTTTACATTTGTGTAAGATCCAATGTTATACCACTCTCATATTGTAAAAAAAAAAAAAAAAAAAAAAAAAAAAAAAAAGCCATGTTGTTTCTTCAAATCCCATCTTCCAGAAACAAGTATACTCACCATCATATGTTGAGAGGTGACGTTTATGACCCTTAGAAGGTTTGGACAGCATCAGATCATATGAAGGCATCTCCCCAATATCAATACCTTCAGCCATTTGGAGAATTTTTTCCATCAAGCGTGGGCTATACCTATTTAAATTAATATAATCTACCATTAAAACAGATAAGAATATAGTTTTTAAAAAAGCTTCTAAATGAGCCAATTTTATAACTGTTTCCACAGGACATTTTTAACAGAGTATCTTGGCTATCAAGCTGAAGAATCAGCTCTAAAATACTTACTTATCGAATGAGTAATTATGGTACTGTCATTGCAAGCCATATAAACATAAAATCAAGAAATTTAAGCCAATATCATCAATAAATCCACAAACAAGTGCCGGCAAGGATGTGGAGAAAAGAGAACCCTCTTGCACTGTTAGTGGGGATGCAAATTGGTGCAGCCACTATAGGAAACAATATGGAGAGTCCTCAAAAAACTAAAAATGTGCCTGGCCGGTGTGGCTTAGTGGTTGAGCATCAACCTATGAACTGGAGGTCACGATTCAATTCCTGGTCAGGGCACATGCAGGGTTGTGGGCTTGATCCCCAATAGGGGTGTACTAGGAAGCATCCAAAAGATGATTCTCTCTCGTTATTTATGTTTCTACTTTTATTTCTTTATTGATTAAGGTATCACATATTTGTCCTCATCCCCTCCATTCCCATTCCAAACCCCTCCCCACGTATATCATTTATGTTTCTCTCTCCCTCTCTGAAATCAATAAAAATATATTAAAAATAAACAAAAACCTAAATATTTAACTGCCTTATCACCCAGCAATTCCACTTCTGAGAATATATCCAAAGAAATCTAAAACACTAATTCAAAAGAATATATGCATCCTTATGCTAATTGTAGCATTATTTACAATAGCCAAGATATGGAAGCAATCTAAGTGCCCATCAATAGAAGAATGGATAAAAAAGTGGTGATATATATATATATATATATTTCTCAAAAATGTATATGCAAACTTTGAATAATTATAAAGGCAGTGTTTATTAAAATGCATTTCATTTTCAATGTTGAGCTATCAGCTGTTAAAGTATGTATACATTTTTTGGGATACCCTGTATATGCAATGAATATCACTCATCCATAAAAAGAATTAAAAGCTTACCATTTGTGATAGGATGGATGGACCTAGAGGGTATTATGCTAAGTGAAGTCAGTCAGACAGAGAAAGACAAATACCATAAGATTTCACTTATATGTGGAATATAAAAAACAAAATAAATGAACAAACAAAATTGAAACAGATTCACAGACACACTAAGTGGACTCTTGGTAGCCAGAAGGGAGGGTGTATGGGAACTGGGTGAAAGAGGATGAAGGGATTGAGAAGTACAAATTGTAATTACAAAATAATCATGGGAATGTAAAGTACAGCATAGAAAATTCTATAACTATGTATGGTGCCAGGTGAGTACTAGAAATATTTGGAGAAACACTTTATAAAGTACATGACTGTTTAACTACTATGCTGTACACCTGAAACTAATACAAAATAATGCTGAATGTGCCTGGGCATGGCTCAGTGTTTCAGCATTGACCTATGAACCAGGAAGTCAAGGTTCAATTCCAGATCAGGGCACATGACTGGGTTGTAGGTTCTGTTCCCAGGGTGGGGTGTGCAGGAGGCAGCCAATCAATGATTCTCTCTCTCACTCTCCTCCCTCCTCTCTGAAATCAATAAAAAATAATACTGAATACAAACTATAATTAAAAAAATAAAAATTTAAGTTCTAAAAAAAAGAAAAAAGAAATGTAAGCCCAGCTGATGTGGCTCAGTAGTTGAGTGTTGACCTATGAACCAGATTCCCAGTTAGGACACATGCCCGGGTTGCAGGTTCAATCCCCTGGGTGGGGTATGCAGGAAGCAACTAGTCAGTGATTCTCTCTCATCATTGATGTTTCTATCGCTCCCCCCATCTCTGAAATCAATAAAAGAAAAAAGAAATGTAAGCCAAGACCTTATCTTTAAGTTTGAATTGAAAGTATTCATATAATAAATTCATGATTGATTTTTCCTCTATCATATGTGTATATTATATGCAAATAATTACATTGATATATTTATTAAAGTACTAAGAGTGTTAAGAGCTGCTGGGTTGTTAACATCCAGATTGTGATCTCTATCATTTCCATGAAAAAGAATCAGAGTCCTTAGAGAAATGGCTGATTCCAAGTCTGGGGCAAGAAATATATAAGTTGAACCTGGCAGATACTCTTATGCCTGAAAACAGGGAAGCTGTCAAAGACTTCAGGAATTGGATCAAATGGACTCAGAAGCCAACTTGAATAGCCTCCCACCTGGCAAAATAAGCCAACTTGAGTATCGATAAGAACAATAACAGCAGTGAATTGAGACATCAAATATGTTAAAAATCCATTAGCTCAAAAAGGTACTTACAAACTCATTATTAGTCACCTTTGGAGGATGGTAGGAAATCAAGTTATTATTCCGAAAATGGGTAATATTAAGGAAGAAAGCAAGTATTTATTTGTCAATTTCCATATAAATTACACCTCATAGCAACTAAAGAATTGATAAAGAAAATCTCTTTTACAGAAGCAGCCCAACTAATAAGTGTAGGGATGAAAGACTACTACCATTTTGCAACCCAAAATGCAATAATAAATGATCATTAATAGCTGCTAAGCCGCCGGCACCGGTTTGGCTCAGTGGATAGAGCGTCAGCCTGCGGACTGAAAGGTCCCAGGTTCGATTCCGGTCAAGGGCATGTACCTTGGTTGCGGGCACATCCCCGGTAGGGGGTGTGCAAGAGGCAGCTGGTCGATGATTCTCTCTCAACGACGTTTCTAACTCTCTATCCCTCTCTCTTCCTCTCTGTGAAAAATCAATAAAATATATATTTTTTTAAAAAAGGTGTCCTTTTAAAAAAAAAAATAGCTAAGCCTATTAGGTGAAAAGTTGATGGGGAAAACCCCCGAAATAGACCTGCACAAACATGCTCAAATGATTGTTAACAACACTGCAAAAGCAATTCAACAGAGGAAGGATAGCCTTTTCAACGTATTGTACTGGAGCAAGTGGGCATCCACAGGCAACAAAATCTCAACCTACACCTCAAACTTTATACAAAGATTAATGCAAAGTGCATCACAGACCTCAATGTAAAATGTAAACCTATAAAACTTGTACAAAAAAAAAACCCACAGGAGAAAATCTTCAGGATCTGGGTCAGCCAAACAGTTCTTATACTTGACAACAAAAGCACGATCCATAAAACGAATAGCTGATAAAATGAACTTCATCAAAACTAAAAACTTTTGCTCTCAAAAAACCTTGTTAAGAGAATGAAAAGCTACAAACTGGGAGAAATATTTGCAAACCACACAGTTGACAAAAAAAAAACTAGTATCTAATAAAAATGCCTCTCAAAACACAATAGTAAAGAAATCATATTTAAAAACAAAAGACATGAACAGAACATTTTACCAAAAAGCAAATACAGATTGCATATTAGCACGTTGAAAACATTAACCTCCAGAGAAATGCAATTTAAAACCACAACAAGATATGACTACACACTTATCACAATGGCTAAAATAAAAAATAGTGGCAACACCCAATTCTGGCAAGGATGCAGGGAACCTGGATCACTTACACATAGCTGGTGGGAATGTAAAACAGTCCGGTCACTTTGGAAAAGAACTTGTAAGTTTCTTATAAAATTAAGCATGTAATTACATGACCTACCAATTACACTCTTAGGCATTTATCTCAGAGAAATGAAAACATGGTCATGCAAAAACCTGTACATGTTCACAGCAGCTGTATTTGTAACAGTAAAAAATTGCAAGCCCTAACTGGTTTGGCTCAGTGGAAAGAGCATCGGCCTGTGGATTGAAGGGTCCCAGGTTTGATTCCGGTCAAGGGCATGTACCTTGGTTGCAGGCACATCCCCAGCAGGAGGCAGCTGATTGTTTCTCTCTCATCAATGTTTCTAACTCACTCCCCCTCTCTTTTCCTCTCTGTAAAAAATCAATAAAATATATATTTTTTAAAAATTGCAATCAGTACAGATCTTATTCAATAGGTAAATGGTTAAACTCTGATATACACTGAGTGACCAGATTATTATGATCTCTGAATGTATAATAATCTGGCCACTCAGTGTATATCCTATAAAATAAAAGGCTAATATGCAAATTTCCCCCTTGACCAGGAGTTCGACCAGCAGGCAGGCCAGCCAACTGCCCATGTCCCTTTCCCCTGGCCAGGCTGGCTGGACCCCACCCCATGCACGAATTCATGCACCGGGCCTCAGAGATCATAATAATCTGGCCACTCAGTGTATATACACCATGGAACACTACTCAGTAAAAAGGAATAAACTATTGATGCACGCAATACTGCGTATGACTAGGAAGAAAATAGATATGGTTATAAAATGTAAGGGATTCTTATGGTATTGGAACTGTTCAATATCTTGACTGTGGTAACGGATGCAGAAACCTACACAAGTGATATATATTGTATAAAACACACACACAAGTACTAGTAATACTTGGGGAAATCTGAATAAAATCAGTGGATTCTAATAATGTCATTATTCTGGTTATATTATGCAATAATTTTACAAAATGTTATCATTGGGAAAACTGGGTAAAGAGTGCAGGACATCTCTTTGTATTATTTATTACAACTACATGTGAATTTACAATTATCTCAATAAAAATTTCCATTAAAATATGACAGCTTACTTTTAAAAAATATTTTATTGACTTCAGAGAGGAAGGGAGAGGGAGAGAGATAGAAACATCAATGGTAAGAGAGAATCATCGTCCAGCTGCCTCCTGCACACCCCACACTGGGGATCGAGCCCTCAACCTGGGCATGTGCCCTGACTGGGAATGGAACATAGACCTCCTGGTTCACAGATCGATGTTCAACCACTGAGCCATGCAGACTGGGCCCAACTTTTTAATATCACTAAAAATGGGACAAGCAGACTTGTGCCCCAGATGTCCATATCACATAACAGGACAAAGAACTATCTATAAAGTGTACTTACCCACCAATTAATTAAATCTGAACCTAATCAAGCCCTTAACTCCC